CATAATTCAGGAGTGGAAAGTGAACTTTATCCTTTTAGTAAATTATAATAAGTGTCATTTGCAATTATTCACCTAAAATCAAATGATATATTAACTAAACATGTGGAAAGTAGGTTTCCTTATAATTAAGTGCAAGGAAGAAAGATATTTGAAATCTAGACTATAGATTGTAATGATTTTTGTAATCAAATTAAGCTTCTAAATATTTGTTCTTAGCTTTATCTATTTTAATAATTTATAATAAATATTATTTGCGATTGCATTTTAAAAATTAGGAATAATTGGGTTGACACCCCTTAAATGGAACTTATATAGGTGGAAGTCTATTTTATTAGATGGATACGGGGATACGTCCCTTGACCAATAAAATTAATACTCCCCTTCCCTTAATATTTGACGTTTTAGGATTTTTCACACAAATTAAGAATCTCATTAATTATTCTTTAATTGGATAGAAATACCCCAGATTACCCTTTCCTCTCTCCAAATAATTATTCATTAATTCCATAGGTACCTAGAAGCTGAAGTGTTAGAGCAATTAACAGTACAGACAAAAATGGAAAGGAAAATATAAATTTGCTTTGGAATTTTAAAACGTCAAATAAATTGGAAAAAAAATTCATGGCCAAAACATCAAATATAAAGGGAAGGAGGGAGTATAAATTAAATTAAATTATTAGTATGCAGACATAAATACCCTTAATTAACTTTTATATGAAAATAAATATTTATTAAAAATTAGGGAACAAAATCCCACAAATCTCTCTTCTATCACACTTATTTCTCTCACGCACCATGTCACTTTCTCTTTCTATCTATTCTCTCTCCTCTCTCTCTCACGTTACCCTCATCTCTCTCTCCCACATCTCTCACACATCTTTCTCTCTCTCTCTTTAATCCCATGTATATCTTTTTCCTCAATATAATAAAAAGAAAAAAAAAATGTTTACAATTATTTCATTTCTTTTAGGATGTTTTTTTCCTTTGTTAATTAATGTTATGTCATTTTAGCAAATAGAAAACTGCACCAGAATAATTGCAAACATTAAAACATCAAAAATAAATTTGTAATTTGCATTAGTCTGGAAAATAATATGACAAAAGACAATTGCAAAACAATAATTTTCATTTACAATTTTGAACTTGAAATTTGTAACGTGAATGTAAAACATGAATTCCTTTTATCAACAAAGATAAGCTAAAATGCAAATTGCGATACGTTGGATAAAAAAGCGAGGTTATAACGATATAGTGGAATTGGTTTGTCTTTCTGTAACGGTTGGTGGTTATGAGGCCTCAACTGCAGACTGAGTTGATCGTTTTTCTTCCACCTTTTCGATGATGTTGAATAGTCGCTTAGTGAATTTTTTTTTTTTTCTTGGCTGTTGGATGATCAAGAAAGGAAAAAATAATTTTCCAAATAATGTTATTGCAACTATCAAATAGCAAATAACTTACACAAGTTCATACAAGACCTCCAAAATGTTTTCTGCAAATAAAAACATCATATGTAAGTAAACTACACATGAATTAGCCAAACAAAAATGGTACTTGAAAATAGCAAATATTATATGCAAATGCAAACTAAGATTGTAAAATTAAAGCTGCATCTCCAAAAAAAATGTAAAAAAATAACAATGAAAACTGCCACTTTGACTAATATATGAGGAATCTCATTTTGCACTTGGCACTCTAATAACTGAGGAATTTACAAACTGAAATTTGAAAAGTAGAAACTAGAAACTGCTATTCCAATCTATATTAAATTTCAAAACAACTAGTAGTACTTGTTAAACAATAGGAACTATAATAATTTACAGACCAAATTTACACCAACATGATGTTTTAACTCAAAAAACATAAAATACAGACCACAAGCATGATTTAAAAAAGAAAAAAGAAAAGAAAACAAACAAACAAATAGAGGAAGACCCATCGATGCTTTACTAGTAATGAAGGAAAATGATACCTGCCATCGATTCCACTGTAACAAAGAAACTCATAAAAATTGACAATTAAATTATTATCAAAATTTCTAAAATCATATGGAATGGATGCGAGAACTTTACTTACAAAGGCCTTCACGATTTTGCACTATTTTTCTAACTAATGATGTTCACTGGGGATGCGGGTCCAAGATAATGTACAAATCCAACAGCAAGACCTAGATACATATCGATTAACAACAAATAGCAAACGAAAACTAAACTAACAACAAACGATTTGAAGCATCTTGCTACGGAAGACAAATTGCGAATTCGTAAACATGGTTAGCCATTTGCAGAGATTTATGAGAGAAGAAGGACAAATATTCTGAGGAGAGAATTGAGGGATTCACGTATAATTAATTAATTAATTTTGTTGATTTGGGGAGATAATTGAAGAATTTATGGTTCCTGCAATGTGCACAATTATTTTTGGAATTTATTTATTTTATATATTATTAAGGGTATTTTTGCCTCAATAACTATAATTAATTTATTAAAAATAGAAACTTTGATTTTGGATTTATAGACATAAAATCTAATATAGCGGGACCTATAACAAATTACCCCTAAAAGTTAATGTGAACTTGCCACTTAAACTTTGTTAGGACTCTTATTCAAATTTTACAAAAAAAGTCAACTTACCAAAAACTTGTTTCGGCCATTCCCATTCAAACATTACATGAATTAGATGTCATAAAGCAAATTACATTATTTCACACATATAAAGAAACTCAATAAATATATATATTAGGGGAAATATGCAAAACCCCCCTCAAACCATAAATATTATGAGTTAAACCCATTTGACTTTTAAGACTTTTGCCCACACTCAAAGTCCAATCTTAATTAGTGAAACCCCCCTCAACAACTGTGATAAGACGAAACTACCCTTATCAGAAGTTTTTAAAATAATTGCAATATTTATTTTCCATAACCGTCTCACGTGATTATAGGATTACATTAATTCTCTCCATATATCCCTCTTTCATTCTCTCTCTCTTTCTCACGCAACTTCTTTTTTTTTTTTTTTTTTCTTCTTCAGCCCATAATCCTCCACCACTCGCCAATGGACACCACTTACCCGCACACGGCACCGGCGCCGGATTTGATTCTCCTTCCGAAGAGCGAACGAAAAAAGAGGAGAAAAATCAAGTTTTTGAGATGCAACAATTTTCGTGCAGAGGCCAGATCGGAAGATCTAACCATCGGATCGGGTTGATATTTTTACACATGATTCGTAACACATAAATATAACTTATGAACGGTGGAGATCGGAATCAGACGTCTCTAAATATAGGTCAGATCTTAAAACTCGCTGCTGGTTTTTGTTACTGAATAATTCCTGGCAGCTAGATTGGACGCGTTTTTTGTACAACTGCACCGTTGGATGTGGCCGAAATTTGAATAGAGTATTCAGAGTATATATTTTTATATATTGTACGGAGGAGATTGAATTTGGTGCCCCCTAGCTCCGGATATAAATTGTGAAAGTATTACAATTTGGTAGTCACATTGTAGTCACATTCTCATATTTTTTTGTAGTGCTGCACATCATGTCGTCAACCTTGATGATTCTGTTGAAGTATGGAGGGTCGTTTGGGGTGAAGATATGCTAGGGTGATTTTGTGTATGAAGACCTCGTCGACTCCCATCCCTCTGTATCGTTATTTTTCTATCTTTATTTATATATTTTTCGATTTTTTTTTCCAGATCTGAAGAACAGTAGTAACATGACTATAGTCATATTTAATGTATTTTTCGAATATGACTATTCAAGTTGACTGTTGATTGAATTGTTTTCGTAAATAATAGGGAATCTTCGTTGTTTTATATGATTTGGTAAACATGACTATGCCATTTAATCGGAAATTTTTAAGTTCAAAATGTAAAAATGAAACAATATAAAGAAAGAATATGACTACAGTTTATAATCACATATAGTCATATTCAAGTATAGTCATATTCGGCGTTGCAAACCTGTCGAGAAAAAAATTTCAATTTTTTGTTTCAAAAAAAAATTTAAAAAACTTTAAATAATTTTTTTATTAAAAAATATTAAAAAAAAATAAAAATAAAAAATGGCTAAATAAATTCCGAAAATAATATAAAATTAAAAATAAAAAATAAAATCCGAAAATACCTTTTTTTATTTATTTGGTAGCATTTTTTTAGGAATGTAGAAGCTGATTTATAGGAATTAAATTATTGTTATGGAAAGAGAAAAAAAAGGAATAATTGAGATAAATTAGACTAATTAATCCTAATTAGCGGAATTTTGGTGCCTTATTAATAGGAATTTTGCAAATAGTGGTTAATTAATAAAAATACGTAATGGGTATTGGGTAGGATAAGGGTAAGATTGGAAATAAATATTCTAGGGGGTTTTCACAAAGGAAGAATTATGGTATGGACATATCACTATTTTTTATCTATAGGAGGGGTGTATTGCTAATGACCCCTATATATTATAGTAAAATAATATAAAAATATTAAAACACTCTTGTCATTAATTGTTCTTCAATTATCTAGGAGAAATTAACACCAACAGGAGGTAAAATTGAATATATATATATATAATTTATACTTTCTTGAAATTCTAAAGCACCAAATAATATGGGATCGAAAAGAATATCTAAAGAGACAGATAATATGAGACTGAGAAAATAAAATATATTTACAAACGACAAATGTTTCATCGCTCCTGCATTAAATTTTATGCTTATCCTAACATTCAACACTTAGACCAAAAGCAAATAAGATTTAATTAATCATCTCTTAGTTTATGATCATGTAAAAATAAATTGATGTAATAACCTTTTTTAATTACATGGAGATATCCATATTATTCTTGTAATAACAAAAATTATATCTCATCAATGCTCATTTAATGATGCAACTTTATTTTAAATTATTGTAATCATTCCCATGCCTATATAATAAAAAATAACAAGTGATGCTTAGTCATATTATTGCAGTGAACAACCATAGTAGATAATTTGAAATATATCTACCATGGAAATCAAGATTTTACCTTCCATTCTTCTTGCAGCAATTTGCTTCTATGGTAAGTTGTTCCGGTCACTTATTTCAATAATACTCATTTCATTTTTTTTCCTTGCATAAAAACTTCATGTTCTATTTTCTTTAATTAAAAAAAAGAAAACTATTTTATTTTATTCAATATTACCTTTTTTTTTTCTTTTTTTTTTAAAGTTATTATTATTATTATTATTATTATTATTATTATTATTATTATTATTATTATTATTATTATTATTATTATTATTATTATTATTATTATTATTATTATTATTATTATTATTATTATTATTATTATTATTATTATTTTATTTTATTTTTTATTTTTTTTTCAATTGGAGTATGTTTAGAGGGTACCAAATTAAATGCAAAAACTATAACTTACAATAAGAAGAAGAAAAGTTGATAACAATTATATTGGAAACTCTTGCAGGGGCTCATTCAGCCGTCTTCACGGTGAAAAATAATTGCGGGTTCGAAATTTGGCCCGGAACAGTAACTGGAGCGGGTTCAGCACCGATTCTAACCGGATTCGATTTGGCACCCCAAGCCTCAAAAACCATCAACGTCCCAGCTCCATGGTCAGGAAGGTTCTTCGCTCGATACCGATGCTCAACCGCCGGCAACAAATTCACATGCGTGAGCGGAGATTGTGCATCGGGTCGAATCGAATGCAACGGGGCGGGTGCAATACCGCCCGTATCTCTCGTTGAATTTACTTTAGGAGGAGCCAACGGCCTGGACTTCTTTGATGTCAGTCTCGTTGACGGTTTCAATTTACCAGTTTCTTTGAAACCCGATGGGGCGAATTGTCAAACTGTTACCTGTGCAGCTAATATTAATTCTGGTTGTCCTAGTGAATTGGTTGTTAAAGGCCCGAATGGAGACGTGGTTGCATGTAAGAGTGCTTGTGTTGCTTTTAATCAGCCGCAATATTGTTGCTCCGGCGCGTTTGCAAATCCGTCGGTGTGCAAGCCGTCAAATTACTCGGAGATATTTAAGAAACAATGCCCTCAAGCTTATAGTTACGCATTTGATGATAAGACCAGTACTTTTACGTGTGCAACTGGGGCAAATTATCTTATTACCTTTTGTCCTTAACCCAGATTGATATATTATTTTCTGAGTTCTAATAAGGTTTCTAGAGAATAAATTGGACAATATGTTTAAAATATGCTCAATTATATTTTATTGAGACATGGTGATATTGTTCTTGAAATTATTGCATGAGTTGTTCAACTTTAAAATAAATTAATTTTGATGCTCATCTTATTGAATAAGCACACAAATCAAGTGAATAAGGACTTCAAATGTGAATTGTTATTTTTTATTCTGAATTTAGCAAAACTAAATATGGAATTTGTAGTCCTCTCATTTAGTATTTTAATTCAACTTGAATTAACAAGATTAGATATTGAGTGATAAATATATGCATGAATGAAAGAACATTGCCTACAATTTTGATGTTTTGACATCTAAAATGCAAAATGTAATTGATTCTTACATAATTTTATCACTCCATATCGAGTAACTTATTCAAGAGATTGCAGACAACTTTGATCTTTTGAGCTATCAAAAAGTCAAAAAATATAATTCATTCATGCATAAATTTGTCACCGACATCTAATTTAATTAATTTAATTTTTAAAAAATAAGTTTTGAAATTGGCGAAAATTAGACTGGAAAATGGTTAAAATCATATCTAAAGTCAACAATTTAAGTAAACCTAAACCGACATATAGTATTTCAGTTTCTAAAATTGCACCGCAAAAATTAAAATATAATATAGTATCACT